GTTGGGCTCTCATCTCCCCCACCCTAGTCGCAGTTCTAGTGAACCCCAGTGCCTTGGTACCATTGAACGTCGCCCCCCCGTAGTCTGCGAGAAAGGCTGCACTAACCCCCCCAAACACCACGCGTATGCACCTCCCACCCCAGGTAGATGTGACATGGGCTTGGAAGCTCCCCTCTTTGATTTCTCCCCTGACCCCCCCTCCGGAGCACAGTGGCATGAACACAAAACCTCTTTGGTACGGATTTCCCTCTGCGGTTTGATTGCTCTGAGCCTGACGCTCGGGGTAAGGCCGATCCAGCATCCCCTGAACCTGGCCCTTTGAGTTGCTCCCCAACGAAACTTAATCTAACCTGGCCTCTCTCTACATCTCTGTAGCTGTGTGGACAGTGTCAGTTTATAACACTCCAAGCGTGGAAGTAATGCTCCTCCCCAGCTTAAGCCGCCTTTTTCTCTGGGAATCATGTAATGCTCACCTTCCAGGATTAGATTGCTCAATTCCTTCCAGGGAGGAGATCTGGCTTATAGAAACCGGTCTCTTGTTGGACCTTAAAGAGCAGTGAGATTTGGGGGGGATCTTCCTCTCTGGAAGCAGTGCGGGCCCCCTTCTGAGAAAGCCCCTGTCCCCCAGGCATTCACTCTGGGGCGCACTGTGCAGTTACCATGGGGGGAAATCAGTGCTTGAGTGTATTTCTAAGTGAGATCAGCACTTACTAAGATTGCTAAGCATTCCCCTTGAGACACAACCGCTCCAAGGACCATCTGATGTTGGCTTCAAAGGTTGGAGCAGCTTGTACCCGATACGTTCAGGGCGAATCTGAGGGGTTGGGGTCTCTTAACACAGCGGGGTGCCTGGTGCTCCCCTGTCCCTCTTTCACTCTCATCGATTCGTTCCCCTCGGCGTAATCACTCTTTATTCACAGGCAGAGCCGCCGGGCTTTTTTCCTTTTGAGCTGTTTAGGAAAAAAAAAAGAAAAGAAAAGAAAAGAAAAGGACCCTTAATAACTATCTTAAAAGAAAAATTAGCCATGGAGGGTATGTTGATGTTCTCCACCGAGCCAAAGGTCTGTCTAAACACGACCGTCGTCCTGTTTAACTCTCCCTGTTAAAGCAGTCCAGTCCCAGTCCAGTTAAAGCAGTACTGTGGATTTATACTGGTATCAAGGTGCTTATATCAGTCTAATGGAGAGGAAAGGGAATAAGCTATACTAGCTACAAGTAAACCTACACGGGGGTTATATCAGTGTAATGGTATCAGTAAAAAAACCACATCTCTAGCCCGCATGGTTGTACCAGCACAAAATCCGTGCATGGAACCAGTGTAAGGGAATGAGCTGCCCGGTTCTCTCCTGTGATAACCTCAGCCTGGATAAATAGCCAGCTTTGATCCAGTATAACCATGTGGTTTATAAAGGTGCCTCAGACTGCAACAGCTTATTCCCCTTCCCGTGTGGGAATAGCTATCCTGGTATCAGCACACTGAGCCGGGTAAAGCTGCGTCCACACTAGAGGGGAGTTGTACCACGTCAGCTGGTCCGGTCTAGTGAAAGGGGTACAGCGTCTGGGGGCAGGGCCGGTCTTGGGAACGCTGGGACGTCGGAGGTATTTGGGACGTTGCCAACAGCCTCCGGGTGGCTGGTTTTGGGAACGGCGTAGAGCTCCCTGTCTGAGTGCCAGGGCTCGGCTCTGGGCAGCAAACGGTACCGCGGCCTGCTCTCGCTGGGGGAGAGCTACAGATAGTTGGGTGGGGGCTGCCCAAGACAGGGTGTGGGTCATTGCTAGCAACCAGGAACAGCTGCATAAAATCTATCCCTCCATCCATCGCACTCTGTCCTCGGATCCATCCATCTTGTCCCGCCACCCATCCTTCCTTATCCCTCCCTCCTCAGCTTTATCCATCCATCTTCTCCCTCCATCTCTCCATCCTTCTCCCTCTATCCTTGGATCTGTCCATCCATTCTTACCCTTTCTTCCATCCTCCACTGCTGCTGCCATGTCCCCTAATGTCACAAAGTAGGAAAGCTGGAGAAAAACGACTGGTCAACCTGCTTTCTCTGGGGTGTCCTGTTAGTAAGCAGAGGCAGCCTGGTCCAGTGGTTAGAGGTGGGGAAGCCAGGACTCCTGGTTTCTATTCCTGACATTGGGAAGGACAAGGGAAAAGGAAGTCCAGACACCTGTTCTATTCCTGACATTAGGAAAGGTGCGCTGGGCAAAGGAATAGAAAGCCAGGACTCCTGGGTTCTGTTCTTGACATTGAGAAGGAGGGTGGCTAAGTGTTTAGAGGCGGGAGACTACTGGGTTTTCGTCCTAGCTCTGCCACTGACACTATGGGCAAGTCTCTGTGCCTCTGTGTGCCTCGGTTTCCCCCATCGACAAAATGGGGATGAGGATATTGACCCACCTCACTGAGGGATCATGGAGCTTGCATAACGAGAAGGCTTTGAGCCCCTCAGAGTGGCAGCCCCTCCTGGAAACACAGAGCAGTACCAGTCAGTGAAAAAAGGACCTGGGCCCAGTGTACTTTAAAACACCTCCAAATGGAACAGCAGCTTGTGCACCAGGCCAGAATTCTAACCACCATCTCCAAATCCTCCAGCCTTCCTCCATGTCTTTCTGTTGCATTTTGTGAGAGCTGGGAAAAGCCAGGACTCCTGGGTTCTATCCTGACACTGGGAAAGGAGCCTTGGGAATAGGAAGCCAGGGCTGGCCCCTAAAGCTGCCCCCGACATGCATCTCCATCCCTGTCAGCTGTTATGAGTACTAAACACACACATAGCCTCATCCCCTTTGCTTCCTCTCTAGCCCAATAAAAAGACTCCCGCTTTCTCATTTTCTTTTTACTAGCAATAAAAAACCTGCAATTGCTCAGCTTTGTCCTGGTCACGAGGGGGTATCCTGGGCCTTCCCCCATTTCATCCGGACCTTGAGTCATCCCGGCCGGGCCTGCGTTCCTGATGCTAACCATCATCGGGGACCGCTGTCAAAATGCTAACCTGGCCCTAGTCCGGCTCTGACTCCTTTGCAGTGGTCCCCGCCATGGCCTCAGTGTTTGTATAATAGAAATCACGTCGGATGGAGTTTCTTTAACACTATTTTTAAAATTTGTAACCCATTCTCCTTGTAAATGGTTTAGCGAGTGGCTTGTTACTCCCGCTGATGATCTCGCTGTTAACTCTGCATGCCTTGTCCCTTTCCCCTTCCATCCAGGATCTCTGGAAAACTCAGCATGAGAAGAAATCAGTATGCCTATTGCTTATCTGTCATTAATAAAGAGTGTTTCTATGTGCATTGTGTAAACGGCCTCTGGCTTCCACTCCTCTCAGTGCTGTTCTGTCCCATCCCCCTGCCTCCCCCCCATTCCCAGCTCCTCTTTGGAAGTACTGTAATAATATGAGGAGACGGAAGGTGGCATCTCAGGTCAGCGGGGCATTTAAAACGAAAGCCTCTGCAGTGTCTAAGTTTAGAATCCCCCTTTTCCCCTGCAATTGTGAGGGCAAGAAAATTAACTTAAAAAATAATAATTTGAGATTTTCAGCGGAGGCTTTAAGATGCCAACTTCTCTCTCTTTCTGGAGTATGAACTTAATCTCTCTTTCGACCCTCTCCAGCCCTGCCTCTGAGCTCTCTGGCGGCTCGGCCGTCCTTCCCAACAGAGCATCTTTAGAAGTGAAGCCCTAGGCTCAACTCGCCCTTGGAACGATGCAGCTGATCAACCCCAACGTTTCGGGGATCATTCTAGGCGCCAGTGAGCAGAACTCCATTGATTTGGTGGCGTAGGGGGGAATGGAGGGGACAACTATTGGAGTTGAATGCAGCCACATCTTCAAGCCCCTCTGCTGCTGGCTGCAGATGGCAGCTATTATGCATTCCAGCATAACAAGCCCCCATCTCGGCTCTGCCTATCCTCCCAGTAGAGCTGATGTCCTGAATGACTTATCACTCAGACAGAAAGAAGAGGGATAATGGAGAGGGGTTGAGAATGCATACACAGCCCTTGCCATGGGGCAGAAGAGGGTGCACACAGAGCTGCTGGCATAGAGGGAGAATGGGAGACCCTGGTATGGGAGGAGGAGGGAATGGGGGGCACACAGAACCTCTGGCTGGGGGGATATTCGGTGACAGGGGATGGATCACTTGATGATGACCTGTTCTGTTCACTCCCTCCGGGGCACCTGGCACTGGCCACTGTCGGGAGACAGGACACTGGGCTAGATGGACCCTTGGTCTGACGCACTCTGGCCGTTCTTATGACCCTGTTATGGGGGGAATGGGAAATGGGGGACACAAGCCCCTGGCGTGAATGGGGAGAACAGGAGACAATGTTATGGAGGGCAGCCCTGGGGAGGAATGGGGGGCCCCGGGATGGTGGGGGGGAGGAGAATGGGGGGCACACAGAGCCCCAGAGATGGGGGGGGAAGAATGTGGGACGTGCGGAGCCCCTGGTGTGATGCAGGGGGTGTAGGTCGCAGGGAGTCCCTGAAATAGTAAAGAGCGTGCTGGGGAGGAACGGGGGGGGGGGGTGTCCAGAGACAGCACCCAGCTGGTGGAAGCCGTGCCCCCCGTGCCATGCTGGGTAAGGGGAGTCACCCCCGAGACACCCCACACCCTGGCGCAGCCCCCGGGAGACGCTGCAAGGGGTGACCCCGGGGGGGGCAGCCGGGTAGCTGTGGTGTGGGGCACGGGGAGGCGGAGGACCCTCTGCTGCTGCTGTACCGCGAGCGGCGGGAGGCCACGGGGATGGGCTGCAGCCCCCGGCCCCGCTCACGCGCTCGCCCACGAGGCTGCTGCTGGCAGCCAGGGGGCGCGCGCGACGCCGCGGCCGCCTAGAACCCGGAGGCGCCCAAGGCCCGCCTCCGCCCCCAGCCCATTGGCTGCGGCCTGCCCCGCCTATCGCAAGAGCCGATTGGTTCCCTCCCCCCGCTTACCCTTTCCCCCCAACGCTGATTGGCTCAGCCGTGGCTTCTCAGGGGCTGGGCGGGGAGGGTACCTCGATCAAGGGGCAGCCGGAAGTGGTTGTGCTCGTGCCTCAAGTGGGGGAGGGGCCTCAGCAGCGGAGCGCTTTTCCCGTGAGCCTTTGCGACTTGCCAGGTGTTTCTGTGGGTTCTCTCCCTGGCGAGGGGGGCTGGGAGCCCGGACTCCTGGGTTCTCTCTCTCCCTGGCTTGGGGGGCTGGGAGCCCGGACTCCTGGGTTCTCTCTCTCCCTGGCTTGGGGGCTGGGAGCCCGGACTCTCTCTCCCTGGCTTGGGGGCTGGGAGCCCGGACTCCTGGGTTCTCTCTCTCCCTGGCGAGGGGGGCTGGGAGCCCGGACTCCTGGGTTCTCTCTCTCCCTGGCTTGGGGGGCTGGGAGCCCGGACTCCTGGGTTCTCTCTCTCCCTGGCTTGGGGGGCTGGGAGCCCGGACTCCTGGGTTCTCTCTCTCCCTGGCGAGGGGGGCTGGGAGCCCGGACTCCTGGGTTCTCTCTCTCCCTGGCGAGGGGGGCTGGGAGCCCGGACTCCTGGGTTCTCTCTCTCCCTGGCGAGGGGGGCTGGGAGCCCTCCGGGTCTCTCTCCCCTGGCGGGGGCTGGGAGCCGGCCCTGGGTTCTCTCTCCCTGGCGAGGGGGGGCTGGGAGCCCGGACTCCTGGGTTCTCTTCTCCCTGGGGGGGGGGCTCTCCCTGGCTTGGGGGGCTGGGAGCCCGGACTCCTGGGTTCTCTCTCTCCCTGGCTTGGGGGCTGGGAGCCCGGACTCCTGGGTTCTCTCTCTCCCTGGCGAGGGGGGCTGGGAGCCCGGACTCCTGGGTTCTGTTCCTAGCTCTGGGAGGTGGAGTGGGGTTCAGAGGTTAGTGTCCTGGGAGTCAGGACTCTTGGGTTCTGTTCTCGGCTCTGCCCGTTTGAACACTTCCTCTCTCCCTGCCTCAGTTTCCCCATACGTGAGGTGAGGATAACCCTGCCCATAAGCGGAGTGGGGATTGCAAGGGTTGGTCCCTTCACAGTACTAAGGCCCGTGTGTGCTGTAGGTCAGTGGTTCTCAACCTTTCCAGACTTGACTTTCAGGAGTCAAGCCCGAGCCCCGCCACCTGAGGATCAAGCCTGAGCTCTGCTGCCTGGGGCTGAAGCATGTAATATAACTTTCCAAGCTCCCTGTGCCATAGGGCCTGGGCAGTTGTCCTGCTTGCCACCCCCTAAAGCCAGCTGTGCACTTGCAACACCGCTAAATCCTGCCCTGTGACCCTTGCGGGGGGGGGGGGACTGCCAGGTTGAGAAACACTGATCCAGATGAGTTGACGTACCCCCTGGAAGATCTCTGTGTATCCCCAGGGGTATGTGTACCCCTGGTTGAGAGCCACTGTTGCCGTGCCAATGTTCCTGTTGGAGCTCTCCCTGCAGCTTGGGGCCCCTGATGGTCTCGCTTCTGTTTGCAGTGTGAGCTTGGCTAGCTCTCAGGTAGCTAATGGTGCCGCCTCTGCTTCCTTTCCATGGATCTGCAACGGTTCCAGGAGGGGGACCCAGAAGACTGGACCTTCCAGCCATCGCAGGCCCCTCCTTTGAGATGGAGGAGCCATGTGCCAAGATACTTGCGCTGGAAACGTTTCGTTTAGAGCAGGTAACCAGGCGGGGAACATAGCTGGGAAGTGGCAATAGAGGGAACTGGGGGGTTTATGTGGTTGTTATGCACTGGTGCAAAACCCTAACGTTCATTTGAGAGAGATGAGATCGTCTGGTTTTACCCACTTAGTTGTTGGGGTATGTGTAAAAACCATGGGTCTTGAAAGGTGAGTTTGGGGTGGGAGGGGTTATTGAGCATTATAGCAGTGGAGATATGCCTGCAGGTTTCGCATCTGTTGTTCTGGTATGGTCTGGTGCTGCTTTGAGTTGGTGGGCCCTGGTCTGGGGGGAACATGCTTCTGATGATGAGCTTAGCTAGGTTGGTGTGAAAGCCAGAAGAGGGGATTTGGCCAGGATTTCTTTCAGGTTGTGATCCCTGTCGAGTATAGGTTGGAATTGTTTAATGTTACCCTGTAGGGGTTCCAGTATGGGCTGGTCGGTGACAACTAAGGAGTAGGGTGACCAGATAGCAAATGTGAAAAATCGGGATGGGGATGGGGTGGGGTAATAGGAGCCCATATAAAAAAAGCCCCAAATATCAGGACTGTCCCTATAAAATTGGGACATCTGGTCTCCCTACTAAGGGGGTACAGTTGGAGGGGGTTTTGTTCTGTATTGGAGCAGGTTCTCTTGGGATATTTGGGTAGCCTGTTCCAGGATACAATCTACTTCTCTGGTGGAGTGTCCTTGTTCGGTGCAGGTGGTTTTAAGTGTGTTAAGGTGTGTATCCTGGACTTCCTCCTTGGAGTTTATTTTGTGGTATCGGAGTGCCTCACTACAGAGAGAACAGATTTCTTGGTGTGTTTGAGGTGCTTACTGGATCTGTGAAGGCAAATGTGTTGATGCGTGGGTTTCTTGTAGAATAGATAGTTGTCTGTAGGGTTCCGTTGTTGAAGTGGATCTTGGCATTCGGGAAGTTGACACTGGTACAGGAGTGTTCTACAGTTCGATGGTTGTGGGATGGTTGTTGAAGTTGTGACGGAAATCTATGTGAGAGGTCAGGTCATCTGTCCAGAGGATGAAAATATTGATGTGTCACAGGTACATCATTGGTTTTGTGGTGCCTTTGTCCAGAAAATCTTCCTCACGGTGGCCCATGAAGACACTGGCATACTGGGGAGCCATCCGAGTATCCAGAGCTGTTCCCATGGTCTGGACAAAGTGGTGTTGAATGTAAAATGGTTAAGGGTGAGGATGACGTGGATGAGTTTGGCACTTGGGGTGGGTATCCCAGTGTCGTCCATTGTCTGTCTTGTAGATATTTGAGGCAGGTGGCCATGCTGTTGTTGTGAGGGATGTTAGTGTGGAGGGAGGTGACACCCAAGGTGGCAAGGATGATGATCTGAGGGTGGTGGTTAATGCTGTGGAGTTTCTGGAAGAAGTCAGTTGTGTCCTGGAGGAAGCTGGTCCTTTGTGTGGTGACTGGCTAGGGTCCTCGCAACAAATTTTTGGATGGCCTAGAGTGTGGCCACCAAGTCTTGCTGGTGGCTGCTCTGACAAATTTTCCTAAAATACTTTAGGAAAAACAAATATGCACATAAACAAGTCCAAATATTATTTATTTACATAGGGTGGGTTTATTTTGCAGACTCAATCATAAAAATAATGTACAGTTGGATTTTGGTGCCCTTAGCTCCTGCTGCCTCCCATGGCCCCCCACCCATCACCTCTGGCCCCCACTGCCTCCCTTCGGGCTCTCCATTGTCCCCCGGGCCCCACGGCTCTCTTTCCTCCCCCCCCCCCCCCGGCCCAATTGCCCCGAGCTCCCTTCTGCAGCCTCACATCCCAGGCTCCTGTCCGCTCCTTGCTTCTTGACCATGGTGCCCAGGAAGGCCGGCCCTGCTGAAGCCCAGAGCCGGAGCCCCATGGTTGGACTGGGGTGGGGAAGCCCTGTACCCTGCTATCCTGGGGGACTGAAGCCCAGAACCCAGAGCTCCACAGCTGAAGCTTGGGGGGAGCTGAAGCATAGGGTCCCGTCACTCTGGGGGATTGAAGCCCAGAGCCTCCAGCTGAAGAGGGGGCTGAAGCCTGCTGTTGGAGCCCCTAGACGCTGCAGGGAAGGGGTGCTGCTTTGACCCCCCTCCCCCATCTCTGCCCAGGAGGCTGCTGTTGCTGCAGGAAAAACCCTGGTGGCCACATGTGGCCACCGTGGCCGGATTTGAGAAACACTGGGCTTGAGGATGGTTTCTATGAGTTCAGTTATTCCTTTGGTAAGCGTGCCATGGCCAGGTGCAATAAGCCTGCCTGGGTTCCCTTGTTTGTGTATCTTGGGAAGCAAGTAAAAGATCCGTGGGGCGGGTTTGTGGGGGACGAGGTTATCGAGTTTCTTTTGGAGTTGTTTGGAGAGGGATTTGATGATCTCCTTCAATTCCTGGGTGAATTGCGGTGTGTCGGAGGCGTCTGTCAATCTGTAGGCCAGCAGTGGGGCAAGAAAGGAAGGGTGCCTTTGGAGTGAAGGGGTTGGGCTGGGATTGCAGAGACAACAGGTGGGTGTAACTGAGACCGGGATGGCCTACTGCAGTGGAGATTTTGACCCAAAAGGGGGTCACAAGCCTATTGTAGGGGGGTAACGGTATGGCCACCTTACTTCTGCACTGCCTTCAGAGCTGGGCAGGCAGAGAGCGGCGGCCGCTGGCCAAACATCCGTCTCTGAAGGCAGTTCCACCGCCAGCAGCAGCATAAAGGTAGCGGTGGCATGGTATGGGGGGGTTGTCAGAGCCTGAAATATTTTCAGAGCGGGTTCCAGCAAAAAAAAAAAAAAGTGAGAACCCCTGGCCTAGTGACTAGAGTGTTAAAGTAGTGCTCTGGAGACAGGGGGTCTATTCCCTGCTGTCACAGACTCCCTATGGGATCTTATGCAAGTCGCTTCATCTCTCTCTGCCCCACATTCCCATCTATAACACAGAAATACTAATCCCCCGCCCCTCCCCGTCCATTTAGTCTGAGAGCTCTTTTGGGCAGGGACTGTGTCTGGGCAGCACCTGGCCCCGATCTCGGCTGGTGCCTCTGGATACTGCCGTCCTGGACGTAATAACGTTAAGCTTCTCACTTGCCTTGCCCTGGAGGGAGGCCCGCTCTGTCGGTGCGAACAGAGTTCAGGCTGAGAGGTGCGTTCAGCCATTGGGTTCTCTGCTGACGTGGCCCACACCTTTGGGATGGGTGGGGGGAGTGGAAGGGCAATTTGCATGGAGCCTACTGGTGGTTTTGTGTAAGGGGCACCTGTCCTGCTGAGACCCAGCAAACTCGTTGTACAGAGTTTTGCAGGGGTGGCATATGGCTTAGTGGATAGAGCACTGCACTGGAACTTGTTCCTGGCTTGGCCACTGGCCTGCGGGGTGACCTTGAGCAAATCACTTCCCCTTTCTGTGCCTCAGTTTCCCAGTCTGTAAACTGAGCATAATGACACTGACCCCCTTTGTAAAGTGCTTTTGAGATCTACTGATGAATATCTGGTGGTGTTATGAGTATGTTTTAATTACAGGTTCCACCAACTGTCTATTATATTCCAAACTTCATCTCTGAGTCGGAGGAGGCCTATCTGCTGCACCAGGTATGTGAGATTTTCATTTGGGTTTATTATTCCCATGGCATCAGAAGCGAGTGTAGTGCTTGGCGGACGCTGCTCTTGCAGGGAGGAATTTCCTGCCTGACTCGGATAAAAGCAGGGCAGTTTGTCCGTTAACTTCACTTCTCTGCAACGGAGATCTCGGTCCCAGACCCCGAGTGCACAGATGGACCCAGCTTTTGTAGATCTGGAATCCGCCCGACACTCCCCCTTCAATGTAGTAGGACCAGTAGGGATCTTAAGTTCATGATACGTGTTATGGGAGCACCTTGAGGTCCCAACCAAGATCAGAGCCCCATTGTGCTGGGCGCTGCACAGATCTGGAGTGAGTGGCAGCTCTTGCCCCAAAGACCTTGCAGCCTCAGTAGGCAGGGTGGATTGTTATGTCTATTTTATAGATATAAGCACGGAAGTGCCTTGCCTGTGGGGTCTGTGGTGGAGACAGGAATTGCACCAGGGTCTTAACCACAGGGCCGGCCTTCCTCTAAACATTCAGTTCTGGGCCCCATCACCCACTCCCTGTGCTTAAGGCCCATCCTTAATTTTCTGCTTCTGTTTCCCCCCTGGTCCCTTGGGCAGGCTCATTTAATGTGAAGCCCCTTGGTCATTAGCCTGGGCCCTGGTTCAATTCCTGCCTCTGCCACAGACTACCTGTGAGGCCTTGGGTGGGTCACTTAGCCTCAGAGCCTCAGTTTCCCCTCGTGCCCTTTGTCTGCCTTGTCTGTTTAGCTTATAAGCTCTGCCTGGCAGGGATGGTCTCTTTCTTTGTGCCTAGGCAGTACCCGGCACAGTGTGGTGGGGGGTGTGGCTGGCATCCCTAGGCGCTAATGTAAATAATACTTTGTGCCTCTCGTACTGTTTCTCCATAATGTTCTTCCCCTCTCAAGCAAAGCTTTCCGGCATCTCATCCCTTCCCTGCGTTCATCCCCTCAGGTTTATGCTGCCCCCAAACCCAAGTGGACCCAGCTGTCTGGAAGAAAGCTGCAGAACTGGGGTGAGTTCTCTCCGGCCCCATCACTGGCTCCCAGGTGACCTCCCCCACTGCACCAGGGACCGGTTAGTGCATGGGACTGGGGAATTCGCTCCCGCTGATGGTCTAGTCTGGGCTCAGCGCAGGATCAGTATGTGTCAGCTTTGTCCTTTAGAAGCCACGCAGAGCAGCCTGCATCAGGGAGGGAAGGAATGTCATTTGGCTGGTGAGTGACCTGGGCTGGCTGGTTGCAGGATTGAGGAGACAAGATCTCCCCAAACCCAGCGCCAGACCCTGCCTCAGTTTTCCCACTCTCATGCAAGGCCCCAGGCCAGCTCCCCATCAGTGTTTGTTTTCAGTTCCTTTCCCTAAGGACATGTTTATAGTTCAAGGGCAGCTCGACATAGGTCAAGTCAGGTAACCCAGGCCCCTCCTAAGGTCTCGGGCTTTTGCTGATGTCTGGACCATTGCTTTCCCCAGTCAGGTCTTTCCTGTAACTGGTGTGGCTGAATCTGGATCTCCTGCAGAAACTTCTCCTCGTGTAAATGGGGCTTGATTAGTCACAGGTGGGAGCTAAGACCAGGTCCCTCCCTGGGACCCCATGACCCAGATTCCTCCACCGGTGGTTCTCCAAAGATGTCTCCGGAGTGCGTCCGTCCCTATCAACCTCACTGCGTGTCCGGGGTTTAATCAGCTTCCAGGCAAAAGCACCTCTGGAGGCTGGTGGGAAATGATCCGCAGCCCTCCATGGGAAGCAGCAATGACTGAAGAGCAGCCAGTCGCATGGGCGTTTGCAGTAGGATGTAGCATCAAAGAGGATATAGTGATGGGGGTGGGGGGGGGCTGCATATACACCCCCAAATATGACTGAGCCGGGGAGCTGAGAGTCAGATCTGGGGTGAGCGGACCAAGGGATATTACTTAGCTTGTCAGCTCCTTGGGGCAGGGACTGTCTTTTTGTTCTGGGTTTGTACAGCACCTGACACAATGGGGGCTTGGTCCATGACTGGGGCACCACAGTGCTACCGTAATATACCTAATAAATATGCTAATTGCATTCAGTTCAGGGCACAAATTGGAAGGGAGTTCAGAGGAGAGCAGTAAAAATGATCCAGGGGCTGGAGCGCATAGGTGACAACCAAGATGGGAAAACAGAGTGACCTAGAGGATAGAGCACTAAGCAGGGTCTTGGACACCTGGGTTCTATTCCTGGCTCTGGCTCTGCCTCTGGCCAGGTGGGTGACCGTGGGCAGGTCACTTTGCCTCTCTGTGCCTCAGTTTCCCTATCTGCAAATTGTGTAAAGTGCTTTGAGAGCTAGGGATTTGCTGGTTGCAGGTGCGAAAGAGGGAGAGGAATTGCTTAGGGTGGTATGGTGCTTAAACTAAGCCTGGTTGAACCCCTGGAGAAACGCCTGTAGGGGTTGATCCAGCCCAGTGCTTTTCAACCATGGATCTCCCAGCACTCTGAGCGAGATGGGACCAGCTGGATCTCTTTCATCGCCAGCTCCTCTCTGTATCCTCTGCCTCCCAGGAGGGCTGCCCCACCCAAAAGGGATGGTACTGGAGAAGCTGCCTGCCTGGCTGCAGAGCTATGCTGAGAAGATCTCCTCCCTCGGAGCATTTGGAGGGAAGCTGGCAAACCACGTGCTGGTGAACGAGTACCTCCCTGGGCAGGGGATCATGGTAACTACCCGTGGGCCAGCTGCTTCGTTACTCAACCTCAGGGTAGTTCCTGCACTTGGGGGCAAGTGAAGAGGGGCAGACGCAGATCCCGACCTGATCAGAGGCGTGTCTATGGGGGCAAATCCTGTAACCATGGCAAATCCTGCTGGCTGGAGATTTCAGCGAGGCGGAGTCTAGATAGCCAAGACTAGGTTTTCCCAGGAGAGTGGTGGTTAGCGCGGGGGCAGCCTGGGAGTTGGGATTCCTGGATTCTGTCCCTGGCTCTGGGAAAGGAATTGGGCCTAGTGGTTAGAGCATGGGATGGGAGTCAGGACTTCTGGGTTCTGTCCCCAGCTCTGGGAGAAGAGTTGGGTCTAGTGGCTAGGCTGTGTGTCAGGACTCCCAGCTACCGACGTCTTCTCTTAATCCCAACACCTTTTGATAGCCCTGACCTCACTTCAAGAGAGCAGATTGCTTCGCCAGCTGTGCTTGTATCTTGGGTGTGGCATACCAGTGACATGCGAGCCTAGGGCACTCCCTGTGCACGCTCCCGGCTTTGCCACGTGCGCTGGCTGCGAAGGTTGGCAACGTCAGGGAGGCATCTGCTCGGCAGCAGGGCCTGCGTGTGACGAGTTGGTCCACGTGTCTTCTGTGTGTAGAGACATTTCTTCCTGCGTTTCGTGCTGGGTACCGGAGAGGAGAGCTGGGGGAGTGAGTGAGTGCGTGCGTGCTCCTTCCCTTTTTAGTCTGACATCCCGGTTCCCTCTAGCCTCATGAAGATGGACCTCTGTACTTCCCCACCGTCACCACCATCAGCCTGGGATCTCACACGCTGCTGGACTTCTACCATCCCTTCAGTAGGGGGCAGCATGCAGACAGTGAGCAGGTGAGCACAGAAGGAATTACAAACAGAGCCCGGAGAATAACGGATTTGTTTTTTTTCCCTTTGGTTCCCATTCTGCCGGGAGCTGTACATTTTTATTGCTAATAGGTGTATTACGGTAGTGCCTAGGAGTCCCAGTCCTGGACCAGAAACCCACATTGAACTGGGAGCTGTTCAAACCTGGAACAGAAAGGCAGCCCCTGCCCCAGTAGAATCCCCCTGCTTCCTGTAGAGGGTTGTGAAAGTAAATCCATTTCCGACTGTGAGGCGCTCAGCTGGTGCCCATCACTGTGGTATCTTAAGTACCTGAGCTGGACAGAGACTGTCTTTTTTTCACCCTGTGTGTTCAGTGCCGCGGGCAGTGGAGCCTGATCGGCGGATTGGGATAACCAGTTCCTGCTCATTTTAATCTGAGAGCCAGATCTCTTGGGCAGCTTTAAAAATCTCTGCCGGAGGCACTACAGGGAAACCAATAACCCCAGTCGTGTTCCCTGCGGTGGGATCCCTGCTGTGCACGAAGCTAGGCAGGGCTGGTCTGCATGTGGATTTTGTAGTGCTTTAATTTAACTCCATCCAGCTTAAAAACGACTACAGCAGTACACACATACATATCCCTGTTCCTTCTCTCTCTCTCACATACAGTTTAAGGATGATGCACTTATAGGTGTGTATGCATGCACCCCCCGGCCCACCTTATCATAGACTCACAGGGCTGGAAGGAACCTTGAGAGGTCATCTAGTTCCGTCCCCTGCACTCATTGCAGGACTAAGTATTATTTAGACCATCCCTGACAGGGGTTTGTCCAACCTGCTCTTAAAAATCTCCGGTGATGGAGATTTGACAACCTTCCTAGGCAATTTATTCCAGTGCTTAACCACCCTGACACCAACCTAAACCTCCCTGGCTGCAATTTAAGCCCATTGCTTCTTGCTCTGTCCTCGGAGGTTTAGATCAATTTTTCTCCCTCTTCCTTGTAACAACCTTTTTACGTACTTGAAAATTATCCTGTCCCCTCTGTCTTCTCTTTTCCAGACTAAGCAAACTCAGTTTTTTCAATCTTCCCTCACAGGTCATGTTTTCTAGACCTTGAATCATTTTTGTTGCTCTTCTCTGGGCTTTCTCCAGTTTGTCCACATGGACATAGGTTCTGTCCCCAGCTCTGGGAGGGGAGTGATGTGTAGTAGTTAGAACATGTTGGGGCCTTGGAGGCCTGAGAATCAGGACTTCTGTTCCTAGCTCTGAGAGGGGAGTGGGGTGTAGTGGTTAGAGCTGGGGGGGGCCTGAGAATAAGGACTCCTGGGTTCTGTTCCCCAGTCCTGCTGCTGACTCGCTGTGTGGTCTTAGGCAAAGCCCTGTTTGTGCCTCCATTTCCCCATCTGGAAGACGGGAGTGGTGCTGTCAACATCCGGGGGGGTTGTGTGGCTTAAACAACTAACATCCTTCAGGTGCTTTGAGATCCTCCCGTGGAAGCAGCTGCAGAAAGGGCCAGGTTTCGTTCTGAACGTGCACCGCTCTCCTTTCCCAGGTCCCCATGCCCCAGACAGAGGAGCAGCGCCACTTCCTGTCCCTGCTGCTGGAGCCGCGCAGCCTCCTGGTCCTGCGGGAGGACATGTACGTCCGTTACCTGCACGGGATCCGACCCGCCGCCTCTGACGCCATCACGGAGAAAGTGACCAACGTGGCGGCCTGCGGCGCGGTGCTCGGGGACGAGCTGCGCCGGGGAACCCGGGTGTCGCTCACCATCCGCCATGTCCCCAAGGTGCTGAAAACGGCCATTTTCCTGGGCAGGGGGAAGTGAGGGGAGAAGTTTGCTTCCCTCCTTCCCAGGCTCTTGCCGGAGAATGGTGCCGTGAAACGCGCAATCAACAAGGGGGTAGGGAGGCCCAGATGTGGAAGGCTGCAGAGACCCCATCCTGCGGCGCGCTGGGAGAGCGGGAAGAGCGTCTCGCCCGCAGGGGAAGAGAAGAGCAGCCTCTGGGGTCATCTGTACGAAGGCGCAGAGCCTTGGACAGGAAGCAGTGTGGTCTAGTGGTTAGAGCGAGAGGCCAGGGTATCAGAACTCCTGGGTTCTATTCCTGGCTCTGGGAGGGGAGTGAGCTCTAGTGGCTAGAGCAGGGGATAGGAAGCCAGAAGGCCTGGCTGCCTACTCCCCACTTTTGCTGCTGCCTCACCATGTGACCTTAAGGGACTCTCCCCTCCACCTCCCAGTGCCTTAGTTTCCCTGGATGGGACATGGCAGGGGTTGCTATCCGTTGGTAAAGCACCCTGAGCACTTCAGCAGCGCATGGCGGGCTCGCCTGCTCCAACCTACATTCAAACACGTTCATTTAAACTGATAAACTCTAATAAAGGCGGGGTGGGTCATTCCACCTCGCTGGGGGCTCCTTGCTGCTGTTTGAGGGATCTGTTACATTTCTGCTTCTGAATTCTCTTGTGCCGCTGAGCCCATTTCCCCGGGCTGAGATCTTGGCTCAGCCAGCTGCTGCCCCTGCCCCCCGTTCACACCTGTGCTCTCTGCCCCTGCCGTAGCCCTTGGGTGCATAGTAGGTGAAACTGTGCGTTTGATGAGGGGAGGGATTGGCCATTAACTGCTGCAGCTAAGGGCTTGTTAATCCACCTCCCATCAGTGATGCGCTTTCTAAGCTGGAGCCGATGGGGAACTGGAGTATGGAGCAACCTGTACTCGGCAGCGGCTTGGAGCGCCTCTAGATGGACGGGAGGTGGATACCCAGTGGGGAATCCACCACAAAAACAGGAATACCGGGAGAATCAGTGGCTGGAGGCTAATGGTATTTAGATGGTTCTGAGCTTCGAGTGCAGTCTTGGGAGCCAGGACTCCTGGGTTCTATTCCGGACTCTGGGAGGGGAGTGGGGTCTCGTGGTTAGAGCAGAAAGGGCTGGGAGTCGGGACCCCTGGGATCTATAAGCCTGGGTCTGAGAAGAGAGCATGCTCAAAGTCCAGGAGTCAGGACGCCTATGCCTATGGGTTCTATGCCTGCCCTTGCCACTGACTCTTGAGCATTGGGTGAGTCACGTCTTTGCTGCGTGCCTCAGTTTTCCCCGTCAGTAAAATGGGGAGAAATGTCATACATCCATCTCCCGGGGAGGTTATGAGGCTTCATTCACAAACATACTTGAAGCGCTGGGCTGCTCCGAGAGCCAGGTATGGAGGAGCCAGATCCCCAGATGGTGTGAACAGGCCATTGCTCCATTGGTGTCCATATGGATTTTCACCCCCCTGGGAATCTGGCCTTTACCGCACGAGTCTGACTTTCTTAATACCTTTGGAGGTAAGTGGCTAAGAGCACGTGTTGACCCATCTGTGCACCCCGCCCCCTCGGTTCTCTTGCGAGCCGGCTGCACTTGGGCGTGAAGGCCGTTGTGTGACATGCTGGAGCATGGTGCTCTCTGTGGGGAAAACACGGCGCCCCGGGGCTGGAATGGATGAGCGCAGGGCCACCGCCGCCTCTCCTCTTGTCTCGGTACAGCCAGCAGGGCTTGAAGAGACAGCGGAGGATATCCTTGATTGCAGACTCTCCCCGGCTCTGTGGATGCAGCAGAACCAGTTCTGGGAGGAAGGATGGCTGGCCCAGGGGTCAGGGCACTACCCTTGGGCTCAGCAAACCTATGTTCAAGCCCTAGCTCTGCCACCGCCTTCCTGTGTGACCTGGGCCAAGTCACTTAGCTGCTCTGGGCCTTAGTTTCCCCACCTGTATGCTGGCGGGGTAATGCCACTGCCCTACCTCACAGAGGAGTTGTAAGACCCTCAGCTCATACAGTGGTGGGCACTATCAACAGGGCCATATTTCCAATTAGGCAGAGTAGGCATGTGCCTAGGGGTGCCAGCATTCTAGGGGTGCCTTACCTGTCTAAAACTGTGGCAAATGAAGGTCGGCTGTAGGCATGGGGGAGGTGCTGAAGCTGGTATGCCTAGGGGCATGTAAGGTGCATTCTGCTATAGAAGTATGATAGATCGATTAGCCTTTCCCGCACTGCGGGGGACTCCTTGTCTTGTCTAACATCTCCCAGGAAGGCAGGTGTCACCCTGAACCCTATAGACCTACAGTGGTCTCGGCTCCTTTTGGTCCCCTCCTCTAGGGTGAAATGGGGCAGATGGGAAGGTCTGTGGGTGTCTCAGGCTGGATTCTAGCTTGGAGATTCACAAGTGTGCATGAAGGGGAAATTGCTCAGTTCCCATAGTCTGTGGCCAGAAGGGACAGTCTCTTTTTGGTGTTTTATGCAGCGCCTGGCATGATGGGGACCTTGTCCATGGCTGGGGCTCCTTGCCACTACTGTAGTACACCTAATATGACTTGCACAAATGAGTCCTGGTGCGTGAGTGGGGCTGTATAGCCCAGGCCAGAGAGTCCCACCGAGCCATTCCTACATCCAGCCCCTCTCTGGTGGGTTGATGGCATCCAATCTTGATTTAAAGACTCTAGTGATGGAGATTACTCCCCCTGTCCCTGGGTCAGTAGTTCCTAGGGTTAATTCCCTCTCTGTTTAAAAATTTGCATCTTTTTCCCTGTGTGAATTTGTCCAGATCTACATCAGCCTTTGTCTGCTGGTTTACCGAGCCCTCCGCTCACAGAAATCTGCCGCCTGTGTAGGTACTTATAGACCAGGTTCAAGAGGCCTCTTGACATTCCTTTGGATAATTACACTTGAGCTGCTCTGTGCAGCATAAATGGCCCTGGCTGGAGCACACTGCGCTATTCCCATTTCTCTGCTCCCCAGGGCCCAGTGAGTATGTGAGTTAGAGCAGCCTTGGGGTTGCTCTGACTATTGCTGGGAACTGGGCAAGGCCCAGAATGCAGGGAGAGCAAAGGGGGCTTCAAGCCACCTCTTCCCTTCCACCCACATCCCTGCCTCAAAGTGCAGGAATGGGAGAGCCGTGAATCCGGCCTGAAGTTCTCACAGGGCTGCTGAGACTCTGCTGAATTCTGCATGATCTCCATGGTTGTCTGTGCTGCATAGGGCGTGGGTGAAGCTCCGTCCCATCAGCCTCGTTCTTCCCTTGCTTGCACTTTTCATTAGTCCAGGGAACGATGTCTTTTTGCAGGCAGGCTCTTTCCCCCACCCCCACCCGGTCCCTGAAATGATGGAGATTGTTTTCCTAATGCAGCAGCCAGAGCCTTCCCATCTGTAGCCGGCAGAACTGCAAAAATAAATGCCCGGGCTATGAAAGTTTGTCACTGAGTGAGTTCACAACGGGACTTGAACTCGGGACAATCAAAATCCACAGCACAGCGTGCTACCTCTTGAGCTAAAAGGATAACTCCTTCAGCTGTTAGCTGTAGTAGACTGCTATCCTTCCTGTTGCCACTAGAAGGGCCTGCTGTGCTTGCATATTGCAAAATCACTTTTTTTATTTTTTAAATAATCTGTCTTCCCACAAACGTCTCATTAAATTTCCCTCCAACTTTGCGGGAAATTTCCTTTGCGGGTACAAGAGCCTGCTTCTTAATTTTCGGACAGATCAGCGTAGTGAACACAGTTAAGAGGGATGGAGTTAAAAAGATCCTACCTCTTTAATGGTAAAAGTTTCAATAGTTTAATGTGGCAAGATTTGTGTCTCCATTGTTTGGCTGTAATGCAAGCAGGGTTCCTTCTCATCCCTGCTGGTGGGGACAGTCTGATTAAATCCTTTGGGGAAATCCCAGTGCTTTATACAGCTATTTGCTTTTCTTCCAATATCTGCCATCAGCCAGCCTGTTTGTGAAGGAAATTCGACCCCTAGAGCCTTCTCTAGAGCTTGTAGGGCTTGAGATGGTCTTGAGGCTAAAAAGCACGGCTGTGACTCAGATATTTCCAGCTCTGTGTGGGGAAAGTGGGGGGGTTAGAGCCAGGGGACTGGGAAAGCCAGGACTCCTGGGTTCTATTCTTGGCTCAGGGAGGGGAGTGGGGTCTAGTGGTTAGAGCAGGGAGGCAGGACCCCTGGGTTCCATCCCCAGCTCTGGGAGGGGGCCATTACGGGAGACCAGGCTCCTGGGTTTTAGTCTTGTCACTGTCTCAGCATTTTTTGTTTTTTAGACAAGTCACTTCCCCTTTCCGCACCTCATTTCCCCCACCTCTAACCTGTGGCTAGTGTCAACACACTGGGCGCTTCACTGGCCCCTGGGCCGCGCCCTGACCCCAGAGGGATTGCATTTCCCGGCAGCTCTCCCTCACCCCTCGTTAACAGAGAGCAGGCCGTATCTGTCTGGGGTTGGCAGTCCAGCCATGGAATTCGGTTCCTCTCTACCCCCAGATGAGTCTGCAAACAATGAACCGGGGTAGGGGGTAAATCCCCGCTCTGGGCTGAACTGGTTAAAACTTAAGGGCCCAATCCTCTCTGAAACCAACTGATCTGCTTTGCATGCACCGGATTTGTTTGAGCAAGCCGGGTGGCTGGATTGGGCTGGGCTTCTTCCCTCGACAGGTAAGCAGGAGCAGGTCAGGTTACTTGGCACCTCTCCACTCCTCCCTCCGTCCGTGCGGTGCCGCTTTTGTGCCATTCTCCCAGCCCTGCCCACCTGCTCCTAAAGCCAGGAGAGAACCTGGGCTATAGCTCGCCGCCCATCTCCTCCAGACAGGTGGGGAGATGTGCAGCCAGGCGGGTGCCTGACTCACCCGGCTGCCGTGAGGGCAGGGTGGAGGAAGGAGCGGGACCTGTTAATGATTGATCAGCATTGGAGATGCAAATGGACCTCGGTTCTGGGGTTGAACTGCAGATCCAGTGGGCCACGGAGGATTAGAATTAAGCCTTCCGCGTATCAGGTACGGTGAGGGCAGCCGCTGGGCAAGGGAGCTGGCTGGAGCGCCCGGCATTACTGGCCCCTTCAATCGCTGGTCTCTCGGAGGCTGCTGCAAAGGGGAGGCAATTGGTGCTGATCTCACCTGGTTTCTGGGCTGCAAATCTTCATCTGTCAAAGCTGGGGCGGGGTGGGGAGGGAAGGGGGGAATAATGGGGACTCAACAGTCAGGTTATTGGAACAGGGAGTCTGTGTCTATGTAGCTCCCAGCACATGGGGTCCATGCAGCACCTAACACAATGGGGACTCCCCCCCCCCCCAAGTCTTGGTTGGGGGGGGCAGGGTTGTGCTGTGATAGGCGCGGTGGGGCCCCGGTCATGATTAGGGTCTGCTGCACCTGGCACAATGGGGCCCTCTGATATCAGCTGGGGGAGGGGTCTGTGCTGCACTTATAGTGGGGGTCCCGCGATCTTGGTTGGGGAGGGGTTGTGCTGTGCCTGGCACAATGGGGGCCCCTGATGTGGGGTGGGGGGGGGGAAGATCTGTGCTGTACCTGGCCCAATGGGGCACCAGGCTCAGTCGGGGATCTGTCTGGCGTATCGGGGTCCCTTTCTCAGCTGGGGTGGCAAGGTGGTACCATCATAAACAGC